CCATAACATCCCATGTCTGCCTCCATTCTGCTGTGGTGGGATAGGCTGCTGCCGCAGATCCACAGAGCTTTTGCGTGTGTCCTGTGATTGAGCCAGACTCAGTATGTTCCCTGGTTATTGGATTTATATCATGATGTTAAATCGTTGCTTGGATTTTCAAATCAACGAAGAGGTTTTATGGGAAGAGCATCCATGCATAGCCTGCTGGTAAGAAGAAAAGTCATTTTCTGGTAACTGTAATGCAGTGTAAGAAAATCTGAGTAGGTATCGAAATGGAAACTATGGGAAGGTTTAAACTTGCATAGCTGAACATATGGCGAGTGTGCTGAGAAGAAGGCCATGATGGCATCATTTACAATCTTAATTTCAGTTGGCAGAGAAAACCCAGTAGGAGTGTCTGTACCTCCGAGCCAAGAGGAGAGCAGGGTGCAGGGGTCAAAAGACCACAAAGAACCAGCCGCAGAACCTGAGGCCAGCGAGCTCTTTCACTCTGCATCTGCAAGTAAGCAACAGTTTTCTATTTTATTTTTATTTTTATTTCATTTCATTTAGCTTATTTGTCTCTATTGCTTTTTTCTGTGGCTACCTGAGGAAGAGCAGCATATTATTTTTATAACATGTATTATGTTATACCATATAAATTGCTTTTAAGCTGTTATCTTACATTTTAATGCTTTAGTTTTATATTGCAAAAAGTATGTTTATGTAAAAATGTATTTATTTCTTTGTCTAAAATTTAATGTTCATTCCAGAACAATGGCTTCAAAAGAAGATAGCATTATGATATTTTATTGTCACCCACAAGATATTTCATGAACATACTTTGTGAATAAAATACAAATTCTTGCCAAACAATAAGGAACAGCAAAGTGATCTTCATTTTCTGACAGAGAAGCTGCAGTGGTTAAGTCACTGTGGGTGCTGCAGGTGTAGCTCATGTTGGGGTGCTTGCCTGGCATGGATGGGGTCTTGGGTACCGTCCCCAACAGCATGTGCACACGCGCACACACGCGCACACACGCACACACACACACACGGAAAAGGTGTAGCTCATGACGGGGTGCTTGCCTGGCATGGATGGGGTCTTGGGTACCGTCCCCAACAGCGTGTGCACGCGCGCACACACGCGCACACACGCACACACACACACGGAAAAGGTGTAGCTCATGACGGGGTGCTTGCCTGGCATGGATGGGGTCTTGGGTACCGTCCCCAATAGTGTGTGCACGCACGCACACATGCACACAAGGAAGAGGGAGAGGAAGAGGAAGAGGGAGAGGAAGAGGGAGGAGAAGAAGAGGAAAACAAAACTGCTTGAGGTCAAAAAATTTAAACTTCTCATGTTTTAGGCTGCTATTTTTTTCTTGCTTCTAAATGTAACATAAATGTATTACGTTCCTCTGACTGGGAAACATAATATATGCTATCTGACAAGTCCTGTGCATCAGAGCCTAGTCAATGAAATAGTTTACCATGCTCTCTTTGCAACATATTTTGAGAGACAGAGAAATTACAATGTTTCCTTTAAAATAAATTTTGCAACAACTTCTGACATTGCCAGTCATGTGGATAACCCACTACTATTATGGACTCCTGAACTATATTGGATTACTTTTCTGAATTCATGCACCTACAGTATACAAATGGCAATGGAATACCCATCTCTGACAAAAGTAAACGAAAAGGGGGATATAAGTGAAGGACCATTTTACAGTGAAAAAAATCTATATATACAAAATCGTTAGCATAGATATACAGCTACTTTCTATTAGTTCAATGAGAAGAAAGTTTTGAACTAATAGTGTTTAGACAAGATATTATGTCTGCATCTTGCATTATGAATAACTACTATGAACACAACGATATGCAATGCATTATTATTGTAACTGTCCTACTAACCTGTTTTGAAACAATCTCACTGCTATTTCTTTCTCAATAAAATTAATGTAAAAAAGGAAATTTTTCTCCTAATACCAAAGAAAGGGGAGTTTTTGAAATTAGTTATTGGAGTGTTATTTCTTTCAGATAAATAGATAATTGATGTCTCATTGACTAGCCTATGGTATTATTATATCAACCATAGGGAAATCAATATTTTGATTTTTGCTTCATTGGTCCAGTCTCGGGACTATAGTTCTGTGTTAAATCATGAATCCATGGAACAGTGTGTAGATTATACTTCATGAGAGGCATGTGCTTAAATTTTTCACAGAAGAATCCAATCTTGTCGCAGGAAGCAGCGGCACCTATGTTAGACACGACTACCTCAACAAGATTTGACTTGGATTAAAATAACACACTAGCTGAAATCTTTAGGTATAGATGCTTTTCTCAAATGTGTGGTAAATGCTTGAAAGAAAACCTTCTGTATGGCGTATGAACATTTGTCCTTCCAAAATCATTTTTAAAATGTTATCATTGTTAATAATTTAAGCAATGGAAAAGTGTAGATTTTTTTATTCAAGATGTTCAACTGTATTAGACAGCTTTGTTTTATTACAACAAAAGTCCTGAGGCAGCTAACTCTTAAACAGCAAATATTTATTTAGCACGTAGTTTTAGGGTGAAAGTCCAAACAGTGGCATAGTGCGAGCTTGTTGATGTCACCCCTTGGGTTTATCACCATGTAGTGTGGGTGGCAAAACAGGCAGCGCATACTGCGGGCCAGCGATTGCATCTCTAGCCAGTGTGTCTCGACCCTGCGCTCATGTCCTTGGGTGTCTTAGTAACTCTTCTTGTTGCTGACTTGCAGCACTTGGCACCTGTAGTTAAGGGAAAAAAGAAGTATGCAGCTCACAGCTTGAGAGATGTCACTTCATACATGGCAGGCTCTGAGGAGAGTGGCGTGATAGATGGGATTGCAGAAACGGTCCATGGCAAAGCAGGGCAGGCAGAAGGCAGCAGGAACAAGTGACAAGGATGACACTCACTCTTTCAGTCCTCATATTTTATCAGGCTACCTGCCCTTGGGGATAGCACTTAGCCCTTCATCTAGCATCACACCATGAATCTATCCCAGCCTCACATCCTCCATCCCAGCGTCATACAGCCTCGATCCCAAATGCACTGCCTACGACTGCCTGAGGCTGTGGGTGGACATCTAGACACAAACTGTGACACAGAGAGGGGCAAGGAGGACTGGAACAAGAGAGGGTGGGGAGGAGAGCGGGAAAGTAAAGGAGAAGAAGGAGGAGGAAAGAGAAACACTCAAGCCCCATGGACCCCTTAAGACTATGACCCATGACCTCCCAAAAGGTCCCACCTCCCACAGTTTCCATCACCTGCCAGTAGTACCACCTTGGGCACCACACCATGAACATAAGGACCTTACCAGACATTACCCTCACTCAAACTGCAGCACCAGGTATCTCCAAACGTGGTAAACTTAGGCCTCACAATAGATACAGAATTTCTAAAATTCATTTATTTAACAATCATTAAATATGCATTGTGTGCCTAAGTACATGTCAGTGGTAAAGAGCTAGAGTAGGGGGCACAGAGGACTTCATCTCAGCTCTCATGAAGTTTGCAAGTCAGAATTCAGATAAACATTGAACCACAAAAATAGAAGGTACAAGTAGATATTTGAGATGAAGAACACATCCTGGGTATACAAAGCACAACATAAATTTGAGCCATGAATTCAATGTAAAAGACTTTGTGTTTGCTGGAAATACAGTTAAAATGAGGACTGGCCAAAGGCCTGGGGAAGGGACTGAACACAGGCTTTATTCATGGGCTATTTAAACTATTTGCATATCACAAATTTTGGGTTTGAATATGAAATCCTAGAAATCCAGATGAAAAAGCTCCTCTAAAACAAATGGCATTTATAAAATGTTCATCATTTGTTTAAATTAATATGAGCAACGAATTTGATGATAACAATATGCAGTATAATAAGCATTGTTAATTTTATGTTCCTGTTTTGAAATTCTGTACCATTTTTATTGTTTTATGTTGCTTTGTTATTGTCTTTGTTCTTGTTTGATTTTTTCCTCTTTAAAAGAGAAGAAATCACTTTATAGAAAGCTTCAAGCTTACACAAATGTAGAGAAAATGGAATAAGGAATCCACCATTACTCACCTTTAGCAATTATCAACACATACCCAGCTTTGTATTATTATCCTTTATTTATACTTTCTAATACAACCCCTTTTATTTTAAAACAAACCCAAGACACAATATCATAGTATTTATCAATACACTGGAGGATCATATTTTTAAAATTATGAGAATATTTACTGAGAATTACAAAAATTAACTGAATATGTATATATTATTTCTACATAATTTTATTTATTTATTTTAGGGAAGGGTCTACAGCGTGTTCAGGGTCTCACTACTAGATTGGACTCATAGGGATCTGCCTGTTTACA